TCCAGAACGAATTATGCTCGCAAACCAAGGTTTTACTGTATTCTTGTTTGTGAAATTTGGGAAAGAAATTGATTTTGGAACATAAATTGCCTTCTAGTTTGCATATATAAATATATATATATATATAGGAAAAAATTCAGACATGTTAAGTTAGTGTTAACATGATTTTCATTCCCATTCTGATGACTGTAAGTAGTTTTAAAACTGCATTAAATCTAGCTGAAAACTGTGTTTTGCTCTCCAGATTAATAAACAAACTACAGCCTGGTTCAATAAAGAAAATCAACACCTCTGCTCTCAACTGGCATCAGGTAAATACTTGGCTGCAGTGATGGGAAATTAAATTGCAACGATGATAAAAAAAAAATAGGATGCAAGATTCAGCAAGCCATGATTAAGCAAACCATGTGTGGAGCCAGAATATGTCCCTCTGTGTTTGCACATGCTGTAATGCTGACTTACATTATAGACTTCAGTCCTGAGATGTAGTAGATCTTGCCAGATAGCTGGCTTCCAAGAAGATTCCAGTTTCTCAGGGGAGAAATGGGTTTCAGTTGCCTATTAGTTACTTCTAAATGGAACTTCCATGAGCTGATGCAGTCTATCACTGAATAACCAAATGCTGGAAACAAGAAATGGGGAAGATCTGCTTCTGCCTTCTTGCTGTGCTTGAGAATTTGCAGGAAATATTGGGCTGGCAGGAAACAGAACTCTGAACTGGATGTGTCTCTAGACCGGTCAGCCAAGTCGCTTAGACTGATGAATTTGGCCTGTCAGAGAAGGAACAGCTGCAGTTGGGAGGCAGTGCCACTGCCCAATCTTTAACACAACTACAAACATTTCCCCACCTGCCTCTGTGGTTCCTATGTTATTTTGTAAGCAAGAGCAAAAAGAGAATGCTCGGGGTGTGGGCTGATTTGATCTGCGTAACTGGTTTTGCTGGTCATGAAGGGAGCAGGATTAGCTCCATAGGGTGCTGAAATCCCACCTCCAGCCATTGAAAACATTGTTCAATAATCTGGCTGGCTTCTGGGTTTTTTAATGGGCATTTTCTGTGGAGCTAAACATTTGTTTTTGTCTGTGTGTTTCTTTGAATGAGATCAGCTTTCTTGGAAAGTAGAATGTGATACAGTGGGCTTCCCCAGCAGGTGTGCTCTATTGTGTTGGGACTGCAGGGCGAAGGATTCTGGGAGCTGACTTTTAACACATCTGGAGGGTGCCAGGGTGGGGAAGGCTGTTGGAGTCTACCGTGTCAGTCCAGGTTACTGTAGGGAGCCATGGAGATGACCTTGGAGAAGACATCCAGAAGCTGTTAGGACAATCACAGGTGCAGAAAAAGCATGTGTTAAGCTCTGGGTAGGAAAGTAGTAGAAAAAGACAGGATTTGCTCCACCCCACCTCCGTGGGGTATAAGAAGGAAGGGAAAGCATGGGTAGATGTGGAAGATTCTGCTACTATGGCCTATCTCAATAAAGTATAGTCGTAATACTCCTGTGGAGTCAGTTTCCTGATCTGGTCTACCCAAGCCGTGACTGTCCATCTCTTTCTTCCAACAGCTGGAGAATCTCTCCAACTTTATCAAGGCCCTAATTAGCTATGGCTTGAAGCCCGTCGATCTGTTTGAGGCCAACGATTTGTATGAGAGCGGAAACATGACTCAAGTGCAGGTGTCGCTCCTTGCTTTGGCGAGCATGGTGAGTGAAGAGAACCTCTGGCCCCATTGTGGACAGTCTGCTAGTTCTCCATCTTAACGCTGTGCTTGGACATAAGGTGACTGGCCTGTTAGTGCTGTTGCTGGCATTATCTGTGAAGTGATCTGAATGCTGTATGGACAGAATGCCAAGTTGGTAATCTTGTGGATGCAGAGCTCATCAAGGGAGGGGCACGTCAAGTGAAGAAGATACTTAACTCCTTTCATATTCAAATTTACTTTTCCAAATGTAGCCTGCTGTTTTCTCCCCTCTGCAGCCACATGAGAATAAATCTAGGACACAGAGAAGATGTGTGTAGCACTTCAACCCCAAATGAGACACTGTAGGGTTTTTTGATTTTTTTTTCTTTTGTATTGCATGCTAACAGGTTAGAGCAGTGTTTCTCAACCGTGGGAACTTTAAGATGTGTGGACTTCAACTCCCAGAACTCCCCAGCCAGCATGGCTGGCTG